CTTTTCATCTAAATTAAGACTTGTTTCTTAGTCCAGCGAGGTGAAAAGTGTAGATTATGCAGCATTAGATTTATTAAGGGATTTGAAATATTTTGGATTGGTAGTACCCAAAGACATTAACCAATAAACAATTACGCATCGCCATTTTGAAAGATAATTTGCCATTATGGGCGTGTAAAAAATTACGTAATGGGATAAGTCCGATTAAAAAATAAGAAAAGCCCCTTGGTCATGTAAGCGTACACGTCGTATAGCGAAGAGAAGTACATAATTTTGTCTTTCCGGAGAGACCAATTCAGGGTTCAGTTTGAAAAATTCGTTATATAATAAATAGTAATGCCTGTTTCTCCTAATACAATTTGGGAGAAATTTCAGTGATAGAACTCAGTAATTACAAGTGTGAATTAAAAAAATATAATAGTTATTTATGGTATAAGTGTGTTATATTACAAATAAGTCACGCGAGAAAAAAGTAAGCCCACGAGGCCGTCAGGCCGAGTGGGGTTATTTTCTCAAGTGACTTATTTGTAATTAATACACGTGCACCATACAAAACTTTATCCAACACCTCCTCAAGCTGGTTTAAAACGTGGAAATCTTAAAAACTGCGTGTTCCGCGAAAAGCTAGAGTGCATGGAATACAAAAGCAATAATTCGTTGCTATGGGGAATAATAAACAACAAAAAATTTAGTCAGAAAATTTATATAGATTTACTTATGGTTCCTGTACTTTATCTTGCTAGTGAGTTATTTTACGTCCATAACTCATTAGTGGGTTATATTATACCTTACTCGTTTAATTTCGTCATGATAATGACTGGATAACATAGAGGTGTTGGATAAATAAAATAAACCTTCCTTTTTTACCAAAAATCGATTGCACCAAAATTTCTCGGGAAAACACTTTTTCTTATTAATTTTGGTGCGTAGAATCCAAAAAATGTGTACTTTTTCGATCAGACTTCTCAATCAAAAGTTATAGACTAGAAACCAATTTCGAAAGAAAATTCAAAGGGCTGTAACTTTTGAACTAGTAGCCCAATCTTGGAACTGTTTGAAATTATGGATTCTACAGGCCACATTCTATAAGAAAAATTTTTTTCCGGGTCGATCTGAGACAATTTTTTTTTGGGGCTCAAAAAAAGGCAGTGTATAACCTTCCTTTTTTACCAAAAATCGACTGCACCAAAATTTCTCGGGAAAACACTTTTTCTTATTAATTTTGGTGCGTAGAATCCAAAACAATTCGTACTTTTTCGATCAGACTTCTCAATCAAAAGTTATAGACTAGAAACCAATTTCGAAAAAAAATTCAAAGGGCTGTAACTTTTGAACTAGTAGCCCAATCTTGGAACTGTTTGAAATTATGGATTCTACAGGCCACATTCTATAAGAAAATTTTTTCCGGGTCGATCAGAGACAATTTTTTTTTCGGGGCTCAAAAAAAGGCAGTGTATAACCTTCCTTTTTTACCAAAAATCGACTACACCAAAATTTCTCGGGAAAACCCTTTTTCTTATTAATTTTGGTGCGTAGAATCCAAAACAATTCGTACTTTTTCGATCAGACTTCTCAATCAAAAGTTATAGACTAGAAACCAATTTCGAAAGAAAATTCAAAGGGCTGTAACTTTTGAACTAGTAGCCCAATCTTGGAACTGTTTGAAATTATGGATTCTACAGGCCACATTCTATAAGAAAATTTTTTTCCGGGTCGATCTGAGACAATTTTTTTTGAGGGCCTCAAAAAAAGGCAGTGTACAACCTTCCTTTTTTACCAAAAATCGACTGCACCAAAATTTCTCGCGAAAACACTTTTTCTTATTAATTTTGGTGCGTAGAATCCAAAACAATTCGTACTTTTTCGATCAGACTTCTCAATCAAAAGTTATAGACTAGAAACCAATTTCGAAAGAAAATTCAAAGGGTAACTTTTGAACTAGTAGCCCAATCTTGGAACTGTTTGAAATTATGGATTCTACAGGCCACATTCTATAAGAAAAATTTTTTTCCGGTTCGATCTGAGACAATTTTTTTTGAGGGCCTCAAAAAAGGCAATGTACAACCTTCCTTTTTTACCAAAAATCGACTGCACCAAAATTTCTCGAGAAAACACTTTTTCTTATTAATTTTGGTGCGTAGAATCCAAAACATTTCGTACTTTTTCGATCAGATTTCTCAATCAAAAGTTATAGACTAGAAACCAATTTCGAAAGAAATTCAAAGGGCTGTCACTTTTGAACTAGTTGCCCAATCTTGGAACTGTTTGAAATTATGGATTCTACAGGCCACATTCTATAAGAAAATCTTTTTTCCGGGTATTCAGAGACAATTTTTTTTTCGGGCCTCAAAAAAGGCAGTGTATAACCTTCCTTTTTTACCAAAAATCGACTGCACCAAAATTTCTCGGGGAAAAACACTTTTTCATATTAATTTTGGTGCGTAGAATCCAAATCAATTCGTACTTTTTCGATCAGACTTCTCAATCAAAAGTTATAGACTAGAAACCAATTTCGAAACAAAATTCAAAGGGCTGTAACTTTTGAACTAGTAGCCCAATCTTGGAACTGTTTGAAATTATGGATTCTACAGGCCACATTCTATAAGAAAATTTTTTTTTCCGGGTCGATCTGAGACAATTTTTTTTTCTTGCCTCAAAAAAAGGCAGTGTATAACCTCCCTTTTTTTACCAAAAATCGACTGCACCAAAATTTCTCGGGAAAACACTTTTTCTTATTAATTTTGTGCGTAGAATCCAAATCAATTCGTACTTTTTCGATCAGACTTCTCAATCAAAAGTTATAGACTAGAAATCAATTTCGAAAAAAAATTCAAAGGGCTGTAACTTTGAACTAGTAGCTCAATCTTGGAACTGTTTGAAATTATGGATTCTACAGGCCAGATTCTATAAGAAAATTTTTTTTCCGGGTCGATCTGAGACAATTTCTTTTTTCGGGGCTCAAAAAAAGACAGTGTATAACCTTCCTTTTTTACCAAAAATCGACTACACCAAAATTTCTCGGGAAAACACTTTTTCTTATTAATTTGTGTGCGTAGAATCCAAATCAATTCGTACTTTTTCGATCAGACTTCTCAATCAAAAGTTATAGACTAGAAACCAATTTCGAAAAGAAATTCAAAAGGCTGTAACTTTTGAACTAGTAGCCCAATCTTGGAACTGTTTGAAATTATGGATTCTACAGGCCACATTCTATAAGAAAATTTTTTTTCCGGGTCGATCTGAGCCAATTTTTTTTTCGGGGCTCAAAAAAAGGCAGTGTATAACCTTCCTTTTTTACCAAAAATCGACTACACCAAAATTTCTCGGGAAAACACTTTTTCTATTAATTTGGGTGCGTAGAATCGAAATCAATTCGTACTTTTTCGATCCGACTTCTCAATCAAAAGTTACAGACTTAGAAACCAATTTCGAAAGAAAAATTCAAAGGGCTGTAACTTTTGAACTAGTAGCCCAATCTTGGAACTGTTTGAAATTATGGATTCTACAGGCCACGTTCTATAAGAAAAATTTTTTTCCGGGACGATCTGAGACAATTTTTTTTTCGTGGCAAAAAAAAAGGCAGTTATTATTACCTTCCTTTTTTCCAAAAATCGACTGCACCAAAATTTCTCGGGAAAACACCTTTTCTTATTAATTTTGGTGCGTAGAATCCAAAACAATTCGTACTTTTTCGATTAGACTTCTCAATCAAAAGTTATAGACTAGAAACCAATTTCGAAACAAAATTCAAAGGGCTGTAACTTTTGAACTAGTAGCCCAATCTTGAAACTGTTTGAAATTATGGATTCTACAGGCCACATTCTATAAGAAAAATTTCTTTCCGGGTCGTTCTGAGACAATTTTTTTTTAGGGCCTTAGGGTGTCTAGAACAGCCTCTGAAAGTTTCATAAAGTTATCACAAAATGCAAGGTTGAAACCTATTTTGGCTCTTAACCCCTGCACTACATACGAGAAAATAACCCTCAAAATAATGAGATNCAAATTAAGTCCCACTTGAGCTATAGTGCCATTTAACATTTTGGGGGCTGTAGCTGCAGCAATAAGGTTCAATCCAAACCACCTCAGTTTAGTTTTAAATGCGCCACCCCGAATTTGAATGTTTAGTTCATGGTCAAAGCAGTACGAGAGTGTAGAAAGTTTCGACGTAATCTAAAACTGTTTCTCCAATACGAATTAATCGCAGTACGAATGTGCAATAGCAGAAAATTAAGTGTCATTTGTACCCCAAAGAGATCTTTTGGCAGCCCATATGGGTATGGTGTGCCCGACAAAGATGCCTACTCTTTCATTATATCTAGAGAAGTAGTATTTAGATTATTAGAATTATTAGAAAATCTTTGCATGCTAAAGGAACAGAATGAGCAGAATGACGTTGCCGCTCCAAAGTGAAGTCACTTGAGATTTCAGAAGGAATTTTACTTGCAGCGGAGAAATAAGAATGAGTTTCGAATGTATTACTTTAAACAAATTTGGTAAATTTCTTGGACTAATATAACAGTCCAAAGGGTTACGGTATCTTTCCAGCTTTACAATTTATCCTTGTACAAGAAAAGTAACCGTCAACAAACGTCTTCTTGCATTATAACACAAAACAAAAGCATAAAGTAAGAAACCAATTAAAAATAGCTATTAAAATGCCTCATACTATTTTAAAGTATTTTGAGTGACTTTAAATTGAAAATGCAACCCTTAATTTTATTGTTCTTTGGCAAAGGAGATCTTAGCCAACGAAAACAATACGACAGCTATAAACGAAGTAAATCATTCTTTTGAACACAAGAGAAGTGGGAATTCAACATCGTTCCTGTCGAATCCAAATTTTATTTCAAAGAAAGAATCATTTGAATTGCAAATAGCGCAACAAGTTTGAAAAGTAAGTTTGGCAAATTTTTCAGGATATCATGGATAATTTATCCCAAACCTAAAAGAACCTAGAAACTTTTATTTCGAAATCTCAATATAATTTTATTTTCAGTCAGTCAGTATAATATATTTACAGGACAATTAACATTAATTTAGGTATATGGATCACATACTTATCTATAAAACTATGTAATATTTTGGGCATCTATGAAATTAATGTTAATCCTTTTTACAGTGGTAGCAAGAGCATGAGACCGCCGATTTAAATGTGAGGGTACGTACGCCGTCAACGCAAAGGACGCGAGCTTCCACGGGCTCGGTGTCCATTATGTTACAGCACTGGCCAACGGAGGTAACCGGCTGTGTTGGGGTGGTTTTCGGTCCAGAAGGTACGGACCAGCTCTCGCAAAAGCCTCTGCATGCATTGGTTGTCATGTGAAACTCTACACAGTTGGGGATACTGATTTTTCTCGTATGACCTACAAGTAGTTACTCATCACTGACAAGTACAAGAAGCGTGGCGACAACTCACCAATCTTATGACAACCGGGTTTCTGCCATGCATCCCTCGCTATCACCGTCGACGAAAGTAAAACATTTGGAAAAATTACAGCTAGTAGCAACCAAGACGCTAGCATTCTAAAAGTAAATTTATTTCAACGCAAGAATGAAAAGTGCACGTAAATTACCTGCGTGAAGCGTCGCGGCGCCCTGTACGAAACAGCTCTTTCAACGTCGGAACGATGAATGAGACTGATCCAAACACCCTTTACTCATTTGCGATCCCTTTTTTGCACACTCACCCCCACTTACTATTATGGCGCACACCTACGTTATAGTTTTTTTAATTTCTTATTAAATATTTTAAAATGTTAATAGCCCGCTTTTTATGATCGACATCCCTTTTATGGGAGTCGTTCTTTCAAATTCTTCTTAAGGCACGGTTGGCATTAAATTATCAAGTGCCCATTACATCCGAAATCTTTACGCAAACAAACCGTGAACGTGCCCTTTGGAACCTAAATTTGATTAAAATATTTAAAACTAATTAAGGGCGGTTTCGAAGAATAGTGCAGTTTTGCAGGGATAGAGCTCATAGATTCACACACTTCTTGTATTAGGAAATCAGTATAAATTGGAATAGTTCGGGAACCAATGGCGATTTCTTGCGAAGTCGTAAAGTCCTTATCTTAGCAACCAAAGAATAAAATCTACAGTAAAATTAGGTTCTGAATATAAGAAAATTTGGGAATTGTGCTTAGTTAAAATGAAGTATAATTTCTTAAGCTTCTGATTACAATAATTTTTATTACACGTTAGTTAAATTATTGGGTATCGGCCTCCAGACACTCATGTAACCTACATGAGTGTCTGGAGGCCGATATCCAATAATTTAACTAACGTGTAGTAAACCTAACGGCAAGTACTCCTTGTGGTAATAATTTTTGTACTAATAGGAATTTAAAATAGGTAAAGTTAGTGTTGGCATCAATTAATGCGGAAGAAAAAGAAATTAAAGGTGATTGAAGTATTCTATTCCTTTTCATCTTACTTCTGATTTCATTGCTACAACAAAAAATCTTTCAAAAATGTCAAGTCATTTCACTTTGAGGTAGCGACGTTGAATTCCTCCTCCCCCCTCGTTATTGAGAGTCTAAGTTTGTTAGTTTATCGTAAAAGATGCTTATTCGCCATCTTGGTTTTTAAAACAGAAATGTATCATTTTCTATTTTGTTTCTAAATGCGGTATTTTATTCTGAATTCAACGCAAGTACCTATTTGTCATAGTCATAGTTTTTGACATATGTCTAATAATTTGAAGATGCAAACATTCAAGATAAGTGAGTGCTTTTTCTTATAATCGAATCCTTAAAGTCCAAAGAATTTTTTGAGTGACCGCCGAAAGTCTTGAAAAAGTTTCCAGGGCTGCTGCGATTTTTCAAAGTTAAAAATCAAAAAATGTCAAATGTTTACAGAAAAATGGACATATGTCAAAAACTATGACAGATAGGTAGGTACTTAAATCTTAATTGAATGAAATTCAGAATTTAGAAACAGAATGGTATATTTGAATTTTTTCAAAAACAAGATGCCGCCATCTTGAGATTATTTTATTGCAATTCGCAATGGTTGATTATGGCTGTAATCCAAATTTCAAGTTTCTATTTCGACTGCAAGTTTAAAAACTTCTAACGAACGGGCTACGTGAATCTCCTTGATCCAGAGAATTGATTTGACCCGCACTACTAAACGATTTATCCTTTAATATTCAAAATGGCAGCCAAATTGCTACAACTGCACGTTCGTGGTTAATTATTTTTGGGGAAATAATATTAGCTTATGTTGTTTCAAGAATTAATTTGAGATCTTTGAATTTTCTTTCGAAATTGGTTTCTAGTCCATAACTTTTGATTGAGAAGTCCACAATTTCCAGTTCCACAGTTCCAAAACTGCTACACCCTCATATTATTTTGACCATGAACTCTAAATAAATCTTAAAATACAGGGTAGCACATTGGAAACGAAACCGAGGTATTTTGAAATGGCAAAGAATTTCCAAAATTTAATTTATATACTTTTTTTGGTTTTATTCAGACAATTTTACATCCAACCAGAATTGGTAACAATTTAGTTTAGACAATATTTTAGTAAACTTTTGCATAGATAATTTTGTTGCCAAAAACGTAGCCACTTATGTGTCTGGCCATTTGGGTCAATAAAAAATAGGAAAAAATATTTCGACCCATTACCCGAGAAAAGGCAAGCGTTTTATTGGATTCTTGTCCAAAGTTCATTTTGAATATTACCCAAAAATTAGTCAATTTGAGGATTTTGAGCTTGCCCACTGTCTGCTGGGAGTTAAAAAATAAATGAGGTCAGAATTGAAACATTCTTCTATACCGAGGTGAGTATTTGCATCGGGAAACAATCATAATTGTAGAGCTAACTTGCTAACTTATGCTAGTTGAGTTTTTTTACAATTTTTTCAACATACCTAGAAAACTGGAACTAAGGGGCTTTATCCAGCGCTATAGTATTCCTTTTCTATTTTATAAAAATCCGAATGGGATGGCGTACCCAAATTTCTTTGACTGCGTGCCCCCCTTCTAGTTTACATAAGTACACGTTTATTTTCTAATTTTGACGTGAACTTATTTGGACCTAATCGGTTGGCTACACCTATCGCAACAGCAGAAAAAATATCAGAATCTTGTAAAGATGGTTTCATTCATTATCATTAACGTCACCTAAGCATTAGGTTATCACAGCAAACAATGTGTAACTATGTACCATGGAAACCACCATGATCCAATTAATACCGAACCGTATTATTCCGAATTTATTATTATTTACATCTTTTATGTATAAAATGTGATAAGTGCGATCGTATCAAATTGATTTTTTCGCAATGTACGCTGAAGAAAAATATTGTGGAAGTCTTATGCTTATGTTTTTAATTTTTTATAACGATTGTCGTTCATGTAGAGAATTCCATTTTCCGATAGATAAAAATGTTTTTTTTGCTCAATGCTGTACTTACGCAATTGCCCCTCTCCAAACATTGAAAGAATGCGTGTAAGAGAAGTGAATGACCCATTTATTGCGGTATTGAAGAATTTCACTGGGACACAAGTATTAGTAAAACAAGGATTTGAGGACCTTAGGGGCTAAAGAAACCAAAAACGAACATGAAACCTCCTTCGGAACATCCCTGAGATATCAACTTGGGGTTTTCGGCATTCAAAAGAGCACCTTCAAAATGTGCGTTAACCTCAAGTCAATATTCCAATACTAGGGACAGGGGCTTTGCTCCTCCTTGTCCTTATTATATGATTCTTTGTCTGATTGAAGGTTGGAGCAAAACTGGGGGCCGAGGAAGACAGTGGATCAATAGAGAGTGGAGGCAGGACGCAAAGAAAAAAGCGGTATAAGCAGATCTGAAAGGAAGAAAAATAAACGGAGATTTAAATAATACAGTCGCACAGAAAGGAGGGCGTAAAGATAAAGGTGCCAAAGAAGGAGAAGTCAAGGAACGAGAGACTCGGAAAGACCTTAAAGAGGAAGCGAAAAAAAGCCAACAAGGGGATGGGAAAGTGTGCAGGTGACATTAAGTACGCAAGAAGGAGGAGTGAAAAGCATTGAAATGGCGTTTTCAGGCTCGGAGAAAGTATGAAAGAAACTGCGTGAGGCGTCCTAAAGAAAGAAGGACTTACAACCAAGGACGGAGTTTCCATCACGATGAAAACGTTTCAGATTGAACTGGAAAAATAGTACCGTCCACGGTTTTACTCAGAAACCGTTTCGACAGTTTTCCCCATAACGAACTGTCGCTAACAACTATTTGACGCTTATCAGCACGTTAACAACAACAAAAAATCACCAGAAGATTACGAAGTTTATCGGCTGACACTACATAATCCTTTACATACTTTAACATCATTCCAGTCGAAGTTCGGTGATAGTTCCGATACTTACAGCGCGTGAGATATGAAGCTTGACGATTTGAGAGTTTAAGGAAAAGGTAATCGTAATCTTCATTTTCTACAAAACCCTTAATTTTTGATTGTAGATTATTTCATGGATTCGATACTTTCGATAGACACCTACAACAACTTCTCAATTTCTGTAATCGTGCGTACAAATCTTTTTTGCAATCGTGACATACCATCTTGCTTCGTTGACTGTTACCATACCGAAAGTCCCTGGTATTTTTGATGGCCGCTGATTTTATTGCTGGATGTATCGGTGGTAAGTGTTTTGTTAGACTTGTGAGAGGTGCTACTTGTGCTTTCGCAGGATGTGCTGGTATAGTCGTCGGACATCCACTGGACACCGTTAAAGTTCACTTACAAACGCAGGATGCACTCAATCCGCAATACAGGGGAACGTGGAATTGCTTTCGAAGTTTACTAGTTAAAGAAGGAATCCGAGGACTATATAAGGGAATGGCGAGTCCCTTACTGGGCGTCGCTGGTATTAACGCGATCGTTTTCGGTGTCTATGGAAATACTCAGCGTTATAGCAGTGATCCGAATTCCTTAGTTTCACATTGCATGGCCGGCGTCTTGGCAGGCTTAGTGCAAACTAGTATATGTAGTCCGATGGAGTTGGTTAAAACGAGAGTACAGATAGCAGGTGACAATTTGAAACCGCTTGAATGCTTAAAAAGCATTTATAAGACTGAGGGCGTTAGAGGAGTGTTTAGAGGGTTGGGTATAACGGCTGTAAGGGAAGCACCAGCCTTTGCCACCTATTTTGTCACATACGAGTATTTAACACGAAGTGAAGACAACACCAGAACTTCCACGGCCACAATGTTGATGGCTGGAGGTCTCGCAGGGTGCGCTTCCTGGGCCATTGTGTATCCAGTTGATGTGGTAAAGTCCCGACTTCAAATCGACGGTATGAACGGTGCGCCGAAATACAAAAGCGCTTGGGATTGTTGCCGGAAAAGTATCGCGAGTGAAGGATACGCCTTCTTGACGCGGGGGTTAACCCCAACGTTGATTAGAGCATTTCCTACGAACGCGGCATGCTTTACTGCAGTCACGTGGAGCATGAGACTATTCAATGGCGAAATTAGTTTCGGTATTGGTGAAAACACAGCAGCTGTTGCTTAAATTCTTCCAGTGATCAGAACGTTTTTTTTTTGTAGTGTGAGATAGTACGTAAATAAATTATATTGCTAGCGCGAGTCTTATTTTTTGTTTGATTGACCTATGCTGACTTGTGCCCTTTGTACTTTACCAATCACGCGATTTTTATGATTACCACTGAAACAATCAAGATTGCTATTGTGCCATCCGCGACCATGCAAGTCAATGAATTGAACAGATTGTGTCCGGAGGCCAGTTCCCCTCTGAGCAAGAGATCAAAAAAATATTTTTGTTTAAATTAATTCAAATGCGTCATGGTTTTGTATTGCAAGTGCAAAAACCACATGTTATTACGAAATACCAATCCCCTCTCCTAGTCGTTTACAGCGACCCAGGCAGTCTGATGATAAGAAAACAACCAATGGGCAAGAAGGTAGGACCTAAATCATAACAATAACAGGATGTATGGCAGAGATTGTATCACTGAGTATCCTTTTCAAATATATTTAGAATGACCATGCCTAATGAAATGTTCCTTGTGTTTCATATCGATTTTTGCAAATGTTCAGTTTTAACTGGTTAGTCAAGATCGCAGAACAGTGCATAAGGTCAAGAAAATGAACTTTGTTATCTTAGTAGATGATATAAGGCAAGTGTTTAATTTTTTTGGGAATCTTGCTGATTTCTGAATGAAAATAATAAACCGCCAAAAACGTTGAGGTTTTTTTGAAGGACTTTTTGGTACACGTAAAAACTAACACGTCTTAGTAGAAGTAGACTTTTTAATTCTCACCTTTCATTTGGCAGTTACGTCATTGGTTTAAGCTTAAATGGACAGGTACATTTTAGGGATGAGATTTCGGACATAGCTACACCAAAGATAATAGAAGCTCTTGTTACTGCGAAACAGCGAGGGATTGGTACTTCAAGACTTTGTGCGTCAAAGGCTACTATAAATCAAGACCTGACATTTTTGGGCAATGTTGAATTTATTTCATTTAAAATAAATGCGACTTGCCCAAAAATAAATCATTTAATGTAGGTGACAGAAACTACTCAATAATCTATAAAAAATTATTCTAAAAAACAGAGAGTGCTCATCAAATGTACTTTTCAGACCAAAACCTAACTCAATTCTAATTATAATAGAACAACTTTTTGGTTTGCCGATGGGCCGTCCAAAATTAGCCGAGACTATCCAATTACTAGGAAGTTCATGTTGTATTTGATCGGTACCGGTCTCTCTATAAAATCTGGAACTGGGTCCCACTTTTCATGAAGCGGGAACCCATCCGTAGGACCTGTCCGGAATTATGATAAAGCTTCTTGCAATACTAAGAATTGCAGTTGTAAGAGAGAAAATGTGCCATTCATAAAGTTGTGTATCTACATAGTATGTATAAGTCTCTGCTTTGGTTCGGTGAGAAAGTTTCTTTTATTTTCCAACCTAATTTGCAATAGAGTTTAGATCAAACGTAATTTTTTGAACGTATATATTTTTGAAATTATTTTGTTAAAAAACCATACACAGGGTTTTAAGTTTAAATATTTTAGTAACAAAGAGAGCTATCGAAAAAGGTTGCAAATAAAAGTTGCAAGAACTTCCTTATTTTAAATGGATCCCATATTGGATTTTTACGTCGCTGTATAGAGAAGAAAATTATAAAACCAGTGATACTAAACAATTGGTGTTTCATTTGGGAATCAACCCTGCATTTTTGCTTCGAAGTTTACAATGTATTTCTTATGGTAATAATTCAATGGCCGATTGTGATGTTAATTGATGTCAATATCTCGAAGACCGCCATTTTGAAAATGTATCCCATCGAATTTTGCAACTTCGGTAGCTCTCTTTGTTACTTAAATATTTGAACTTTTTAAAAATGGCGATTTTCACTTTTTTCAAATTATCTACGAAACAATTTATTTGTTCCAAATATCGTATCGGAATATCCATTAGCATCAAGAACTACACAACTTTGTCAATTTAACCGAATCTGTAAGTATAATAATAACAAAGATAACCATGTTGTCCTACTAAATGTAAGACACCCTGTATATGAAAGTTGTTTAACATTTTATTTCCCATAATAAGACCGCATTCAGTTGTTTTTATTTCAGAAAACAAATGAATAACGAAAAACATAAACAATTGCATTTTTTTAAATGGCAGTGCACCTTTTCATTAGGCTCATTTGATAGGGATTTTTTTTCTCTTCTCTATCAAATGAGCTTAATGAAAAGGTGCACTGCCATTTTAAAAAATGGAATTGTTGTTCGTTACTCATATATTTTCTGAAATAAAAACGATAGAATTATTATTGGAAATAAAATGTTAAACAACTTTCATATAAAAAATTTGTGTATACAGTCGATATTTACCTAGATATACAGGGTGACAATTTGAAAACTTACCACCCCCCATATCTTAGTAAATCAACGAGATATTTAAAAAATTCAAAATCCGTTTCGGTAATTCGGAGGGGGAATCACAATGACATAGTTGGCTACGCACCCCCTCCAACCCCCTGCGCCCCAGCCACCCCAACTTTTAAATCTTAAATAGTGACCCCTCATGTGTGATACATCGTTGGGAAGCTCTGAAAAAATGCTTTCCAACCATACCAAATAGCTAACTAACCTAAATGTAATGCTATTTGGTATGGTTGGAAAGCATTTTTTCAGAGCTTTCCAACGACATATCACACATGGGGGGGGGGGGGTCACTGATATTTAAGATTTAAAAGTTGGGGTGGCTGGGGCGCAGGGGGTTGGAGGGGGTGCGTCGTCAACTATGTCATTGTGATTCCCCATCCGAATTACCGAAATGGATTTTGATTTTTTTAAATATCTCGTTTATTTACTAAGATATGGGGGGTGGTAAGTTTTCAAATTGTCACCCGGTATACTAATTCCATACATAATAAGCACCTTGTATGTATACATGTTATCTTGGAAAATACGCCATCTACATAATTTTAGGTGTGTATTTTTAGATTCATCATGCTTGAAAACTTATATTGGGTCACACTGTTTCTACGTCACTGAGAGTCACTGAAGTTTTCGGTCTTAGCGATTTTAACTGGGGGACATTTTTGAAAATTTAACTAGACTATATCAACTGCCACCAAATTTAATTACAACCAACGTTTCAAAAGAGGAGAAATTAAAAAAATTCAAAGATTTATGAGGAATTTTAGCTATACAGTTTACAGACAAGGGAAATTTTAGCGAAGTCTCTCTTTAGCAGGAAGAGTGGTTAAAGTGATCTCTTTAACCGCAAGGATAGATAAAGTGAAACAAATGATTGTGTATTCTAATGACATCTGTCATTCTTATTAAACTTGGATCACGGAGTATGAAATATAATGAAGTTCAGAACAAAAAACAATACTGTTTCCATGGACCGACAGAAGGAGCCAACTTTGCTATTTTTGGCGTCTAAATTACATTCAGAATTTTCAGAAGTATTGTAATGATTTATATAAATCGTTATAATCTTCTGAAAATAAAGACGAATCGCATTTAAATCCTACAAAAGGTCTAATTCTTTAATGGCTGGCCTAATATAACAATCCTAGCCAGTCCCATTTAAAGTTTTAGGGCATTAAATTCTGCATTGAATGGGGCCAACCGCACCCGGTCCCATACTAGTGCTCATCGAAGTTTTTACTGCTGTTTTTTGGCCGTACCATCTAAAAACCTATCTATCAATAAAGTGCTCTATACAAAAAGGAATAAATTCTGCGTTCGGTAAGATCAAAAGCTTTTTTTACCACCCATTCCCATACAGTACCACCCAAGACACCACTACAGCAGGCAATGTTCTTATGAAATTGTGATGTCTTGAAGCAGCAACCCTTTTACTTTACTGCTGCTAAAATATTTCAACTGAATCGTTTGGTGCACCACTACAGCGGTTACTCCTAGATAAATTACGAGAATTTCCCAGCCAAAAGCATCAAACCTGAGCTAAGATTACTTGTGAACCAATTTAATTTTCATCTATATAGTGCTATGGATATAAACTGTATATCGACTGACCTTATCTTTTATTTGCGGTACAAACAAGATAAGTTTAAAAACGTCAACATTGTCTCTGGTTAACCACATGTACACCTTGGATAAAAAGGTGCGAATGCTTTCAAAGAGAAGAACATCGCACGAATGATGGCATCGCAAAAAGAACTAGACACTATAGCCGTGGAAAATTTCCGACGCTATTTGCGAATACCGTCCGTCCATCCTAACGTCGACTATGGTAAGCGTATAGTTCCACCGTTAACGCGAAATTAATCGAATTCCAGAACCCTGCGTTAATTTCCTAAAGGAACAAGCGAAGGACATCGGTTTGGCGATTTCCGTTTTTCGAGATGTGCCCAAGAATCCAATGGTTGTCCTAACATGGACTGGTAAGGAGAAGAGTCTGCCCGCCATTATGCTCAATAGTCATATGGATGTCGTGCCAGTCATCGAGGTAAAGTTGTAGTGGGCAAGCAGTCTCTAATTTTCCGATTTAGAGTATGTGGACGCATAAGCCGTTCGATGCCGAAATCGACGAAAATGGGAACATCTACGCCCGTGGATCTCAAGATACGAAATGTACTGGAATACAATATTTGGAAGCAATCAGGAGAATGAAACTGAGCGGCGTGGAGCTGCGACGGACTGTTTACGTTACTTTCATGCCAGGTGCAAAAATGCTCATTTATTCTTGATAATTAACTCGAGTAATGTAGATGAGGAGTGTGGAGGGGGAGATGGAGCCCAGCAGTATGTCAAAACGGAGAACTTCAAAAAACTAAATATTGGTTTTGCATTGGACGAAGGGGCCGGTGGCACAAATAACACGCTGATTGTTTTCTATGGCGAAAAAAGAGGATGGAGTAAGTGATCATCTGCTAAGGATCAGCTGAAACCTTCCAATTTCAGTGTTTCGCATTCATTGCCCCGGGCAGGCTGGTCACGGATCACTTTTACTCGACAATACAGCGGGTGAGAAAGTAAGATTTATTTTGGATAAAATTTACGATTTTCGGGCTACACAAAAAGTGAAAGAAAACGAAGACAAGCGCACTGTTCGTGTGACATCGATCAACCTAACAATGATTCAGGTATGTCTGGTTAGTGGAATGTTAAAATACAGTCTAGCTTAGGGAGGAGTGCAAAATAATGTCATTCCTGACGAATTTTCCCTGGTTTTTGATTCGAGAGTACCTATAGACGATTTTGAGGAGTTTGAGAGGAAGCTAAATCAGTGGTGCAAGGATGCAGGAAAGGATGTATGGATCGAAAATGTGCGCCAAGACGCAGCGCAGCCTATCCGCTGACAGCAATCGACGGCTCCAACAAATTTTGGGTTGCTTTCAAGGAGGCTGCGCGGTTAAAGTGAGAGAAACTTTAAATATTAAAGTTAGCTATAAACATACCGTACTTGTAGCGGTTTTGACGTTGATCCTCAGGTAATACCGGCGAATACAGACGGAAGATATTTTCGAGGAGTTGGCATTCCGACGCTCGGATTTTCGCCCAATCAAGATACCCCGATAAAAGCTCACGATCACGATGAATTTTTGAACGTAAACGTCTTTTTAAAAAGTATTGAGTTATACACTCATATCATTCCTGCGCTTTGTAATGCATGAAGAAATAAATAACAATAATCAAATAGTATACGAATTGTAAACCTTAGAAACATTACAGGATTCGAAGATTTAAAGGTGTGTGTTTCTGCAAACTTTCGCCCTCGTCTTCGCCTTACTGACGAGGAATTATAGAAGTACGAGGCCCGTTTGGGTCCGAGTACTTTAATTTCCGAGTCAAGCGGTGTCCTTTTACTGACAAGTTTTGTGTATTACATTTTTCTCAAAATAAAATTTCAGTTTTCATAAACAACTTTTGATTAATTAATCAAGTGTGACAGGCTGCAGGAAAAGTAGTCAGTACCACTGTCACTAAAGTTTTCTGATGTTATAGTAGGCATGAAAACGAAAATTTTTGACAAATTCGGGAGAAATACATTTCAGTTTTTCAATCAACGTATTTTCCATGCCTACCAAGCAGCAACACTATTTTTTTTTAATTTTTGAGCTTTGGAAAACTTACAGTGAACATGAGAGGTACAATGAATTTTAGGGAAATCTAATATTGTCGGAATTGGAAGGGAACCTGAGCGGAATTAAAAAATGAATTGAAAGGAACTTTAGGAGTCACGCTTGAAGAGACTTGAGAAGGATTTCATGGAAATTTGGGTGAAGTTGTAGAAGAGCACGAGGGAAGCTTAAGATAGCGACATATCAGGTAAGTGGTAGAAGTTTAGGGAGATGAAGGGTGAGATCTGAGAGACATTTAAAGAGGGCTCATTGATAAAACTTGATGACAATTTCATACGAACTTGAAGATTAAATTATTAAAGGAAGCTAAAGGGGAACTTGATGCGAAGTAGTGCGTAATTAAGGGTACCTCAAGGGAACTCTTTCCAAGATTTGTTAACATTTGTAAAAATTTGCGAAGAACCCTAATTATACTTGCAAAATTTTGTAAATGAGAGATCACTTATTATAAGTTTCCGAGAAAAAAGTAGAACATGTAGAACAGTATAACTTATTACCCCAAACAATAAAAAGTATCCGATCACTGAAGCGGTAGTTCAAAACTAAAATACGACGTTTCCTAGCGGCCAATGTTATTTACAATGAGGGCGAGTACCTCTCTGTATGTGAAAATGTTATTGTCCATTAAATGTTTGTTAGTCTGACGTTGTAATACAATTGTGCATTGTTTTTTACAAAAATAAAAATGAAAATGAAAAATGAAAATGAACAGTTTTATAAAAGACACAGGAAGACAGGAAGGTGCAAATACAAAGAGAGTATATTCTTCACCGTTACCCCAATAAACCCACAATTAACATCCAATTCCAAGGAAGAGGGTTAGCAGATTCCTACAACATCCAGCGAGCTCTGCAGTGGGAATATCTATCCCTCGTTCCCGAACACGGCTGTAACTTATGCTACTTACAGAGAAAAATGGATGAAAAAATTGCATTCTTCATAAGCTTATCTAACATTTTCTGTAAAACTTATTCACGGATATCTTTCCATAAAAATAATTGAATATGCCCTTAAGTTACAAATTTCTGTTCAAATATACTCACCGTAACACAAAGTTATGGAGAACTAGTGGTGAAACAAAAGAAAATCTAGGGAATAATGAAATCCTTGGAAAGTAATAAAAAATCCCCGAGGAAATATAAATTAATTCTGTGTAAATAAGTGCAAAATTTTAGGAAAGTAATAGGCAATTTCTAAGGGAATTCGATGATGGAAATTCTTTCCCTACAATTGAAAAGAAAATCTGGGAGAATATAAGAAAGTTTTGAAGGTATGAGTACACTCCTTAAAGTACGAGTAGGAAACATGTTGAGGTTCTGGCGGAAATTTTAGGAAAGTCATGGGAAATTTCTAATTAATCTCGAGAAATACTGTTTCTTATTTCGTACAGAAATTGATAAAAAGTCAACCATAATTTTCTTCCATTTCGGGAGAAATAGTGTACATTTTAACTTTTTAGACAGTGAACGAAATTCTCTCTATTATACAGAGTGGCCCAACGAGAAGTATACAGAGGGCTTTTAGGGTATTAAATTTAGAAATTTCGAAAAATCCTCGAACACGTCAATTTTGTATTCGAGGGGGACAACTTTTGGAATACAAATCACGAACCCAAGTCTTCACCCCTCTACGTAGGGAGCTTAACCCCTAAAATTTTAAATGGAATCCTATGGCAAATGGCACATTATTTGAAAGCCAATTTAATCGTGATTACTAATCTGCTTTGCTTTTTAAATTCTATTGATCCGTTTCGGAGAACTGACAGGTTCACTTAAGTTTAACAAACAAATTGAAGAGTCAAAATAAAATTTTAATACAAGGTGACTTAGATCGCATTTGCTTTTGGTTTTTTTAGAAAAAAACCATTTCAAATGCGAATTATCTCCGAAACGAATTTTTTTAGTGAGCGAGCCCCAACAATATATTTTTAATTGAATATAGCATCACATTCTCCCATAGTTTTCAATGTTTTAGTGCATTTTCAGCGCATCTTATCCATTGAAATCACCTCAATTTAACCTGGATTCAGTAAAAAAGCTACTTGCAGAGAATTGTTAATAGGATTAAGTAATAATCATTATTTTGGGAGACGCGGGTTTTTGATAATGTAAGTTTCCAAATATAGCATTAAATGGCTGGCGGCTGGCGTGGTTGTCGAAATTCCTATAAGGGTGTATATACTTATATTCTACCTATAACGCTTCAAACGCGTTAGTTGTTTGGATTGTGAAAATCCTTTAACGTTGTAGCCTGCCGGCGCAAATTTTAATTAAAATAACGAAAACCCGTCCGATCCTCATAACTTATACGTAAAAATTCTGTTTACGAAATCCTACTTTTACCGTACTAAATACGCGTAGTTGTAAATGTATTTTGGACGTCTCTTTCAAATTTTTTATGTATTGGGCCTGTTAGAATATTCTCCCCTTTACTTAATCGCTTTTGAACTGGAAAGTTCCCCCGTAGAAAAATCGCCCACTGATAAATTTGCAAATTTGATGGTGATTGAAACCTTCCGAGATTGTTTGTTTCGCTGTTTTTTCATCTTATACCAGAAAATATAGTTGACGTCACAGGGCCAGGGTATTTTCATCGCAAGAAATCTCCGAGTTTGGGACCAGTGTTTACAGACCTTTTGATATTTTTCTGGTATCCAGGCAAATTCCAATTAAAAATCATGTCAAGGGAATCGAACTCGGAAGGTTTCCATTATATGTATAATATTATAATAATTAATAATTAATAATATTGATTTAGGTATGAAAAAAATGTATTCCTCATGATATATTTTGCTTGCTTCGAAAGTACCAATAACGTTTCGATAATCTAAAATTTATTTATAGAAATCTGGAAAAATAATAAAATTAATTTTTTTAATTGAAGGTCATCATTCTACATTATAATCAAGATAGCGTATTGCTATCAATCCACAAACAATCGAAACGTTTTTGGTACTTTCAAAACAAGCAAAAAATATCATGAAGAATACATTTTTTTCATAAATCAATATTTAAAAAAAATTACCTCTTGTATACCCCATCGCTTTACACACTGTATACTATGTCAATATAAAACAAAATAAGCTGCTTTTTGTAGTACAAACCATTAAACCATTTAAATTTAGGAAAGAAAGCTCATAAGATTAGCAACTTTATAAGATAATGAAAAGGGTTTTAATTCATTTTGTCTCAATCGAGCAGCATTATTAGTTCCTTTTGTCGAATAAATTTTTACCACCCGCAAGAGACGCTTGGCCGTGTTTTTTACGTGAACCTTTCTGAGATTATCCCAAGCTGTTTCAGGTTTCCGAATATTAGTTTATTTTTTGATTAAATGTAATGCTATTTGGTATGGTTGGAAAGTATTTTTTCAGAGCTTTCCAGCGACGTATCACACTTGGGGGGCCACTATTTAAGATTTAAAAGTTGGTGTGACTGGGGCGCAGGGGGTTGGAGCGGGTGCGTCGCCAAATCTGTCATTGTGATTCCCCCTCCGAATTACCGAAACGGATTTTGATTTTTTTAAATATCTCGTTTATTTACTAAGACATGGGGGGTGGTAAGTTTTCAAATTGCCACCCTGTATAATAGCGTGCTTTTTTTCAAAAATGATCTCTAGAACAACTGACGATATTTCCAGAATTGTATATTCTTAAAAATGTAGGAATTTAGAAGGAAATTGTAGGGGTATTAAATGCAAATTTACAGGCAGTACGGTTATACTATTTCATATTGAAACTAAAACAGTTAAGAAAACGAAAGAAAGAAATTCCTGTCCCTTGTACAGGAAGTTACGAAGATCCCATGCGGGAAAATGTAAACAAAATTTGGAGTAGGATGAGGAAATTCTCGCGAATTATAAACGAATAGTGGGAGCGACAGTAACTTGAAAACAGGTCGAGGACCATGAGAGCGGCCTGTGCGGAAATGAACACAAAAGGAACTTGAGGGGAATTTGAGGAAATTTCAAGAGGAAATTAAGGTAAAGTTGAGCGAAACATGGTAGGAAACTCGGGAAAAGCCTAAAGAGTAACTTGAAACGAACATCATGTCAAATAAGCTTGAGAAAAAACAGAGAAAAGGTGGGATAGATGAAAGAGAACTTGAGAAAAAGTTGGGTAGTATACGGGTGGAAATAATTTCATTAGAACTATAGAAACTTGAGAAAAGATTTGTTAAAAACTTGAAAGCTTTAGGGTAGTTTTCTGAAAGGGGGATCAAATATTGTTGCTAATTCACAGCAAGATGTGTTTAAATAATAGGAACAATAAAATAATAAATTAGAGGAGAAGGAGCTAAACGTTTTATATTAGGGTAGTACCTTGTATTTACTCGCCCTATTTTCACCTAAAAAACGTATTAAGTACCGGCTCATTCATTTGCGCGATGAAAGCCCAATTAATTATGAAAAAGGACAGTATAAACTTCAATAAAACAATAAAAAAAAACGCGCCAGTGCGTGTTTTTACATCGTGTCATGCATTATTTGTTGTTAGCAACCATCTTCGATACCTCAATGAACAGATATCAATTAATTCTTACAAAAGGAGTCATCGGGGAGGGTATCGAAAGTCTACTATTAGTACCTCGTTAGAGTTTCCGGGGTGCGATCGCCAGTCTAAGCATATTTTTCTAATTTCCAATTTATCCAATACACTTTGCGTACGTACCTACTTCTCGGTAATCAGGCGCAAACGTGCTTGCATTTTACAATGCGCGGGCGAACCGATACAAACTTACAAGTTGACACTATTTACCAGTACTCACACAATCATGCTATTTACCATATAAGCATCTGTTGATTTTGAAAGATCATCAAGTGTGCAAAGATGCCCGAATTGAGGAGACGCCTGAGGAGCAACGCCGAAAATTTCGTGCAAAGTGACGGACTTTACGTGCATTCAAATCCACCAAGGGGTGAGTAGGAGTTGATTTTCTTTTTCGGAATGACAAATCCTTGACAGCTCATATTAATGTAAATTAATTGCGTGCGTTAAGAAAATCTATATTTGCATAAAAATTAATGACCTACCCCGCCCGCATCTAAAACTGCTGCCAATTTCTTGTAATTTACAGTCTAGTTACTTATGTAAATGGCGCAAAGCGAAGAATAATTAAAGAAGCTTAAATGTCAACGTTGCGTTTTCAGCTTTACAGATTAATTCCGCCTACATAAAGCAGTTGATACGCAATGGCGATATTGAAAAACTGCAAAACTTGGTGATTGAAGGACAGGGAAAAAGACTGATTGGAGGCTACTCCGCCGATTACAAAACGCGCGCCTTTCTCAAAACCGTGCCTAATACTATAGTAAGTCACCACTACCTCCCGTTGCTCCCTGTTAAGGGAGGAATTTCATTTGCAGTCCAAAATTAACTTATTGCACGACGCTGTTAACAGCGGAAGGCTGGAAGAGCTCGAGGCGCTTTTAGACGAGGAACCCGATCGGAGACGGCTTATTTTGGCAAAGGACGACGCAGGTGTCTGCCTCCTCCACAAGGCAGTCTACTACAATCTCACGGACATCATCAAGTGGATCATCGCAAACTATCCCCAAGCCGCAACGTCCAAAGACTCGGTTTGTACGCGCCGAAAGACCCGCATCCTCATCTCACTGCCTAAACGTTTGCAGGAAGGACGCACCCCTTGCCACTACACCCCCGCCTGCAAGGAACCAGAAGCCATACAGAAACTTCTAACGAACGCCGGTGCCGACATTTCGGCCGTCGACAACAAACAACGCACCACCCAGTATTACATGTCGCACGCATCGGAATTGGAACTGCCGAGCGTACACAAAATCTCAAAAAGTCCGAGAAAAAGTACGCCATGTAATGAAGGTTTGTTAGAATTTAGGCTTACCTATCGACTAAGTGACCGTCGTTAAAAATTAATGGGAAGACGTCCTGGAATTGACCTATTGCTTGAAATTGATTTAACGCCTCTTTTAAAATCAATAGTCCCCTGTATTACGCCGTTGAATTGCTTACTTATGAAATATACATTCCCGAATGGGGAACTTTTTTTTGGAAATCAATAGATCAATGTCCTAATGCAGACGGTGGACGAACAAATTGGATTTTTTGTTGTGCGAGGTTGTTGAATTAACAATGGGGGCGATTGCTGCTTGATGAGGGCGCTTTGTATGGGTAACTTTCGCAAACACTACGTTTTTGCAATATATTACTGTACGACGTGTAGGTACAATGATTCTGATGTCGTCCACCTGCAGCGGGTTGTTACTAAAAGTAAAGAAATTTATAATAAAATCATTGTTTATATAATTTGAAATGGGTACGTTATGTTTAAAAGAACCGTATTCCATAATGATTTGTGAAGCTAAAATTCATTTAATCGAGAAAAAAGCTTGCAACCCTTGTAAAGCTCCAAGTCATCTTGAATGGAATGGGAATCCTAAACAAGATTAAATCTTTTACATTAGATTATACAATACAGGGAGTCTATAAAAGAACTCCGGGGTTTAAAAAATTAATATTTTTTAAACTATAAAAGATAGCAAAATTTGATCAATTCCTTTGAAACAAGCAGCTCAAAGAGTTTTACTCATACGAATTGGGAATGTTTCTCTCAACAGTTGGCAGCGCTGCGGAGCGTTGACCGTGAAATGACGTAACGGCTGCGGCAGGCAGTCAGTGTCGTCTGGACTAACTAACTAACGGAGCTCACATTGAACTTTACTAAGTTTTTAAAAAATCTTGAAAATGTAAGCTTTCTAATCATGTATAAAACATGTATGTACGTTTTTTACTGTATTAAAATATTTTGTCTTAAAACCCCGGAGTTCTTTTATAGATACCCTGTATATTAACGGGGGCCAGTTAACCGCAACTTGTTCCAACTTGTTTATTTCTAGCAGTATGCACAAGATGGCTATTGTTAGGTATTTAGATAAACAAGTCGAGATGGCCGTGATTTATCGATAAGAAACCATTTTGAGGATGGTAGATTGTGAGAAAGCAGGTAGAGATCCTTACGGGGAGCTTTTTGGAGCATTTACCGCGCTGGTGTAAATATAGTTTATTTTTTGTAAAAGTGCGCAAGATATAACCATTGCGGCGATCTTGGTAAAGATTCGAATTGAAAAATAATAAATGAAGACATGAGAAGAATATTACTGTAATCCAGTGTATGATTAAATATACACGGCACAGTGAAACTAGATACAAATATTAAACGTTGACATTTATCATTCATGACGTTCAAAATTCAGTTACTATTTTATAGTTTTTACTCACTTGATTACGATGGCGTAGAAAGGCCATTTAAACTGGAAATTCTACTTTTAAACAAGAAATTCTATTTTTATAAAGTGGAAATTCCACTTTTATACTGGAAATTCTGCTTTTAAACAAGAAATTCTACTTTCTACATGATGTAAACAATCCATTAAGTTCATTTGTATATGGCACAAGTACGACAAATCAGAGAATTGAAGCATGGTGTGCAATCCTGAGGCCATATCAATCTCAATTCTGAATGAATTTGTGTCAGATTTGTTTAATGGATAAAGCTCTTATTCGGCTTTATTTCTTAACAATCATTCAAGTAAGCTGATCTAGAATTTCTTGGCTAAAGGTAGAATTTTCAATATAAAAGTTGAATTTCCAGTTTAAAAGTGGAATTTCCAGCGTATAATAGTATATTAAGATACAAGTGTATAATCAAGTCTTTAAAGCACGCGCAACGAGTTTAAGGACACGACGCAAAGCGGAGTGCCTTTAACGTCCAGTATAAAAGTGGAATTTCCAGTATAAAAGTGGAATTTCCAGTATAAAAGTGGAATTTCCAGTTTAAAAGTGGAATTTCCAGCGTATAATAGTATATTAAGATACAAGTGTATAATCAAGTCTTTAAAGCACGCGCAACGAGTTTAAGGGCACGACGCAAAGCGGAGTGCCTTTAACGTTGCAAGTGCTTTAAAGACTAATTATACACGTGTATCTTATAGTATTTTTTATTATACCTGCAGTGTAATCTAAAAATAGAAAATACAATGAAGTCATATTGACGTTATACTCGAATACATGTCTAATTAAGTGGGCTGGGTGTTCGTAATTTCACGATTGCCATGGAAATGCCACTTGACGTTTGCTTATAAAAATCATCGTCTTTGTGAATTAAACGATTTCCGTTGAAAAAGATAATACACCGCCCATTAAATCGATTGTTGTAAAATCTGAACAAACGTTGGTAGGTGTAAAATCCAACTCCAGTAAAGCCTATTATAAAGAATATGAAAAGTTGTTTCCATGGATGAATAGGAAAGTTACTTACGAATACAGTCTTAAATGCATCCATAATGCTGGCATATATGAAGGAAATGTCAAAGGTATTTAAATCTTCTATATTTTGGTGCATTCATTCAAAACTTCAAAGCAATGCTGCGATTAAAAAGTGGAACAAATTTGGAAGCATACCCAAATTACGCGCGTTTGTGAAAGCTTCAACCAAAGGATAGGTACAAAAGCCAAAGAAATGTTCTGCATTTACAGAAAGCGACTTAAGAGGATTTTTTATTTCATCCAGATGACAGTTTCAAAAGTCATACTTGGAAGTATCGTTACTTAGCAACTTTAAAGCACGTGTGTTTTAAAGGCCCTTTTTCGCACGCATTTGAGTGTTTAAAACGGAGATTGTGATTCAGGTATAATAAAAAAGTAGAATTCCATGTTTAAAAGTAGAATTTTCAGTATAAAAGTTGAATTTCCAGTTTAAAAGTGGAATTTCCAGCGTATAAAAGTAGAATTCCATGTTTAAAAGTAGAATTTCCAATATAAAAGTGGAATTTCCTGTTTAAAACTGGGATTTCCACTTTATAAAAGTAGAATTTCTTGTTTAAAACTAGAATGGTTATTGCTCCTTTTGTACTGTTTCTGATGTCTTCCCCTGAATCCAGAGTGTACGAGTCGAGATCTTCCACTGCATCGTTAAATCGCTGGTGCTGGTTCAGATTCCTCTGCTCCAGTCTTTGGCACTGCGTTTTTCCTGCCCGATCAACATGCACCGCACCATCGCCACGTGTTTTCTTACATCCTCGCCCTCTTCTAGTCTGGTTTCTGCCAACTGTCTGACAAGCAGTGCTTTTCTTAGTGGTCCTTTTGGGTCACGTGAATTCTCTGCTGTTTCTTCCACATTTCCTTCGATATCTGACCGTCTTTGGTTAATTCAATTTGCTCACCATTCATCACAATCGTCATTAAGGATTGTACATCATCCTTTTTTAACCAGGTTTCCCTTTCGACCGTCCTCTCATCTGGGATCCAGACATACAGACGGTACATTCTTCAGAGTAACCCAAAAATACTCCATCCTTGGTGCGACAGTCGAATTTCCCTCTTCTAGGCACGAATATCTTGTATCAGAACTGGGGGAAAAAACTGGTATTCGGCTTCCTTTTGGTCCACATTTCATACGGTGTTTGACCACCTAGACGAAAATGAACGCTATTGTCCCCACTTTGTCCGTCTATATGTCTGTCCGTCTGTACCACTACTAGTCCTCCCAGTTTAACCTTTTTCGTTGTGATTTCTTTCTTCTCCAGTGTAGCACAGTCCCGAGATCAGAACGCCAAAAGTGTTTTTTTTTATTAGTCACTTCCTTCCCGAGTTATTACTGATTCCGTGCGGCGAAAATGGGCTTTCGTCGGTCGTGAGTGATCACGTTTTTAACTTTTTTAATTTTTGAGACCGCGTACGTCATTATTGATTACGTTTTTTAAAGTGCTAAATTAAGAAATTGTTTTCCACTTTCAGTAACCGAACAGGCAAAGAAATAAGACACAATGCTCCATTCAAATTAAACAACGCAGCCAAGATTAACCTCATTACGGTTGACAAATTTATCCTTGAATTTCTATCAAGAATATTGGAAAACCAATTGAAAACCCGCTACATTTCGATACTCTGTGGAAGTTGTATGAAATGCAATGTTCCTCCCCAAAATTTCTAACTTCACAACGAAATTTCGAAGAACGTCAGTTGCAAATTTACAAGTACCGTTTAGTGCAATGATCTATACGGTGCCTGTTGTTTCTGCAGTACCTGCAAAATTTCCGCCCTGTTACAATTTATTGTATAATACATCTTCTTTCAATTTCATACAAAAAAATCGTTAAAGCTTCATAGCAACGATTTTTTTTATTGAGTATTTGTTTACAGTTAATGTTTAACGATTGATTGAGAACCTTTTCTAGCCAGAATTTGACGCACTTTGTTAATTTTTTTGGTTGCGGAACTTGCAGCCCACAACTTCGGAAAAATTCCGTTGTGTATTTCTGTAGTTACAAATGATAAGTCGTCCTTAGTGCTTGTTAGTCACTTATTATATTTTAACAGAAATAATTGGTATATGAGAAGGACTAACATTCCGTTTTCGTTTTAATTAGTTTAATTTACCGTGCCAAGACTCTCATTTTCGTGCCGACTTCAACAAAGGTTTTTAATTGTGAACGTAATGCCTTTATTTACAAATTATGCTATAATAGGTATAATTGAAAACGTGAAGAACATTAATGACTTTTTTGTCAGAATTCCAAAACATAGTGGCGTAATGCTACTGTACAGACGTGAAATTGCTTCCGTTCATAAGACAATCAGTTAATGGTATACACATCCCTTCAAATTTGTTTCGAATATATCCCTCGTTACAATAACAATCTTCAAGACATTGAATATGGACTAAGGAACACTCGTATGGAATTTGCATATCGGTTGACAAGCAGAGCCACAATCAAAGTATTCATTTGGCGGACAATCTTTCTCCATTAACAAAGCGCCACTAATAAAAATCAAAAGAACCACCACCTTGCACAGTTTCTTCA